ATATAAATTTATAAAGTTATAAATAAAAACAAATTTATTAACACTTAATATAAGTTAATTAAAAAAAAAATATCAAAAAATAAAATAAAATAAATTTAATATATTATCTTATAATAAAATAAATATCTATTGTATACTATCAAAAAAAGATACTATATTAATTTTATACATTAGAAATACAACAACAAAAATTATTAAACAATTGTTTTGTTTTTTTATAATAATAATAATAATTTAAAATTACCAACTATTATAGTTTATACAGTACATACAGTATATATATTATATTTATATTTATTTAAAAATTTTATTAATTAGTTAACATAATTTTTTTTGACCATAAAACTATCTATTAATTATAATAATAATAATAATTATAATATATTTATATTAAATACATACACAAACACACACACACACACACACACAAACAAACACACACACACACACACAAACACACACACACACACACACACACACACACACACAAACACACAGACACACACACACACACACACACACACACACACACACACATACCATGTTATTTTTGTTGTTGTTATATGTTGATAACCTAACTTAACATCTACCTAACCTAATCAAAAAAAACCTACCAGTGCAATCCGCCTACCTGGTTTCTATCGGCACTATTCCAACTACAACTAATTGCACCCATGGTTTGCCTGATGCTATACAAATCGCCCCGACTGGGCATCTCGCTGACCATCCTAATCATACTGGTCGGCTGTTACGCTAGTATATCACCGAAACTATTGTTTGGCCAGAAAACCTATTTGGATCCGCTGGGGATCAGTTCACTCGATGAACTGACCAAAGCTTTCGTTGCATTTCATATGGGTATCAATCAGTATATCATAGCGTTTTTCATTGGTCTACTGGTCGGCTATTTTGTTAGGCTAACCGACCACCATCATAGCTACTACCGCCGTCACCATCAGCACCAGCTATCCATGCGATGGCAACTACTACTATGGCTACTATCGTTCAGCACTATTATCTACGTTATGTACTGGTATATGACATTACATACCCTGAATAGGTCGCCACCGAAATCCAGTGTTTTACTATGGTTTTCGTTTGGCAAACTGTTTGCCTGTATAGCCATATCGTGGATATTGTTTTCCCTGTGCATCGGTAGGGCCGGTATGTAGTTATTTTTTGAACAGTTGTTATATATCTATAGTCCTATTTTTTAAAAGTAATTATTATATATAATTATAATTAAATATATTTAGCAACAAAAAAAATAGTTAGAAATATTTTTACAGTATATATAGTTTACAAAAAAAAAATATTATTTATATTAATTAGGAATAATTAAATGATATTTAATATTGTATTAAATTTTGTTAATTAACTATTTTCTAGACGGGGTGGGGGAGGGGAGGTGTAAATATTTTTTTAATATACTAAAAATAATTATCCAATATATAAAATATTACATTTTTTGAAAAATGTAATACTAGTTTCTTATATAAATTCCTATCAAAAAAAATTAAATAAATAAATAAAATATTTGTAAATTACCTGTAAGTTAGTTGGTTTGTTAGCTAATGTTATGATTATAAATTTATGTATAAACTATATATATATAATATATAATATAAATAATATACAGTATATATAAATATATAATAATAAAAATAACTATCAATATATAAAATAATAAATTTAAAAAAAAAATTTTCTTATATAAAATCCTATAAAAAAATAAATAAATAAAATACTTGTAAATTACCTGTAAGTTAGTTGGTTTGTTAGCTAATATTATGATTATAAATTTATGTATATATATATAAACTATATATATCATATAAATGTTTCATATGATTTTATTATTATTATTATATATATATAATTTTATATATTATTTTTTGAATAGCATTTCTAGAGACCATATTTTCCTGGTATGGCTTTCAAGTGGTTTCCCGTTTATCATTTGGTATCTATATATTACACTTTCTTCCCCTATCTTATCGTTTATTTTCCGTAAGGGATACCTATGTTATGACCGACAAACTACTGGTTAGTAAACATAATAACAATCAGCAAAAAAAAATCAATGAATTTTTATTTTATTTAATTTATTTTTATAATACTATAGATTGAGTATATAATCATTGATTTTATAATAACCGGTTTGATTGCGTTCCTGTTTTATATACTAATTGAACGGCCATTCAATAATATATGGTCACTGATATTTGATGGCCAGTTAGCCGATGATGATGACGATGACTGTGTGGACAGTGATGTCGATGATGAGTACGGGTTTCAAAAGGACGGGTCTAATAATAATAATAATAATAATAAACGCCGACGACATGTATTGCCGCCGATCAATGTGTTTGCATCAAATTGTCACGAAATTTTCAACACTAGTAATAATAATAATTATTATTATAATAATTATAGACATCATAGTAATGGAAATAAAATTTAAGAAAAAAACAAAATTATTATTATTATTATAATAATTAATCAAAACATTTTAAATAAAAACTATTATTTTATTTTTGCATTTATTAATCTAAATTTACTTACATTAGTCATATATATATATATATTTAACAAATAATATTATAAATAATAGAAATAAAATATGAAAATATAAATAATTTATTTTTTTTAATATAAAACAAATATTTTATTTTAACATTTTTTACTGTTTATCTATTTTTTCATGAAAAAAATTATAATTTATAATAATTATAAATTAACAAATGTTTTTCTTAATAATATATTTTTATATCAAAAAAATATGTCAATTTATGTAATAATATATTTATATAACTTATTATAATTGGTATTATTATTATTATTATTATTACAATTAATTAATTATTATTTTTACAGATATTATAGTTTGACAGTATTTTTAATATAATATAAAATAATTATCAATCAATTACTTTATACAACCACTTGTTTTTTTTAACAATAAATATATTTATATTAAATACATAATATTTTTCATTTATCTAATCAAATATTAAATAGTTTTTTTAAAAAATATTTAATTAAATATTATTATTATTTATTTATTTGTGTAATGTATTTCAATAAATAAAAATATGTTAATATTTTAAAAATGGCAACAATAATACAATTAATAATTGTATTTTTATTATGTAATATAAATATTTATTTTTAATTATTTATTAATTTAATTTAAAATTACTATAATATATATATAACTATTTTTTTTTAAAAATTATCTAGGTAACATAGGTGTTCAATCAATACCTATTATATTAGGCGGTACCGATGCCAATGGTGTTAATTTGCCCAGGGGCATATTTATTCATACAAATAGTAATTTGAAAAAATCATCAAGTCAAAATCTGATTGATGAATTTGAACAGTTTTTAACTGATAATAATAATAATAATTATAATTATCATAAATTGCTACTTGATCAATTTATTGATTATCTAGATAATTTATTTTTATCATCATCAAATACTACTACTACTACTACTACTATTAATTATCAAAGTCAACAACACTGTATTAATGGGACAGTCGTATCAATTGTACGGGAGATTCAACTATATATTAATTATATTAGTCAACAATATATTGATAATAATAATAATAAAATAATTAATATCAAAAATAAGCTTGATAAATTTTTAAGTAAACTAGATAATCAAACTGATAATAATAATAATAATAATAATAATCATAAATTAAGTTCAATATTAATACAATTGATGGATAACTTATGGGCCAATAATATTGTTATTAATAATCAGCAACTAATGGGTAGTCATATATTGCTCAGGTATATCGATCTGGCTGTCCGATGGGCTATTGATAGTCAAGTTAAATATATTACTAGACATAATACAGTTAACAACTGGAAAACTAGTAGTAATGAGATGCTAGAGTTGGAAAGTTTGCGTAAATTATGGACTAAACTAATTGATGGTTTAAAACGGGAACTACAAGATAGCGGTATATTATTATTATTATTTAATTAATTAATTTAATAGTTTTTAAATTACATATATAATACTGTATTGCTATTTATATTTAATTTTATTAATTTTTTTAATAAAAATATATAGATTTATCTGGATCATCAGCATCATCTAGCTCAAACAGTTAAATATATATATATATATATAATTATTTATAATAAATTTATTAAAAAATAGTTATAATCAATAACATTGTAATGTAAATCAGTAAAAATTAAATAATATATTAAATTTATAAAATTATATATATATATATAAATATAATTTAATTTTGAAATTATTATATTTAACAAAAATATAATTAAATAAATTTTTAATTTTTAGTTTAGTTATCAAAAAGTTTCAAAACAACAAAAATCAATGAATCATTCAATTAAATAATCAAAAAAAATATTTTTTTGTTTTAATTATAATTACAACAGATTTTTAATAACAAACAATTTGTGTTTTATTTTTTATTTACTAATTATTTTATTAATTAATTAAAAAGAAAAACCCGTTTTTTGTAATATTTTTAAAAAAATACAGATAAAGCTATAATTAATTTTTAATAATAACAACAAATAGCAGACATTTAAAAAAAACAAAAACAAAATACTAATAATAATTGATTTTTTTTGTTAAATAAAAATTTAAAAAATATTTTTTGTTAAATAAAAATTTAAAAAATATTTTTTTTTAAATTTATCATTAAAACAAAATAAACATAAAAATAAAATAATTAATTAAATTGTTTTTTAAATTATATTTAAATACGAAACTAAAATAATAATAATAATAATTTAAAAAAAAAGTATTTTCAAATAATTTAGACACTTAATTAATTAATTTGATAAATAATTTAATTAATTAACTTAACTATTAATTAACTATTAATTTAATTAATTAATTTAACTATTAATTTAAATAATTAATTTAACTATCAATTTAATTATCAATTTAAATAATTAATTTAACTATCAATTTAAATAATTAATTTAACTATTAATTTAATTATAATTTTATTAATGTTTGGCCAACCAATCGGCGCTCAAAGTCCAGTACATTGCGGGCCATTGCGGCAAACGTATTGTTAACCGTACGGACAACCTGTTCGTCATACCAGACAACTGCCGGACTTATGTCCGGTAGACACCATTTGCGGCCGTTTTCATAGAAATCGTTGCCTCGTATGAGTAGATGTGCCGAATAATAGTAACTACCGGTGCTTTGGTCGGTATCGGTGTCATTGACGGCCTCCCAGTTTTGGCGATCAAAACTCGTATACAGATAGCGACATATGTCGGGTCGGACACCAAACTGGCCGGTCATACGGTGTATAAGTTTTGGCCATTTGTGTACAATGTCGAGCACCGGGCGTACCCCTGCATTAAAGTAGAAAGTTTTGTTGGCATCGTATTTGCTAAACGATTGGGAGTATAGACGCAAAAATTGTGACGACGGATGGCCTATGTTTTATGTATAAAATTAAGGGATGGGTGGGTGTGTAGGATGGGGTGGGCGGAGGTATAGGTGTTTAGGGATAGATGGATACATAAAAATTTTTTTTTAATATGTGTTAATCAACTGTTTTTTTGAATTATTATTAGTTAAGTAAATAAATTTTGTTATTGTAATAAAAATATTATTAATTACTATTAATACTTATTGTAATAACAAAAATAAAATTATTATTAATATTTATTGTAATAAAATTAGTATTAATTACTACTAATACTTATTGTAACAATAAAAATAAAATTATTATTAATTACTACTAATACTTAATAGTACAGTATATCTTAAATATTGTGAAATACCAATAAATTATTGGTTTAATGAGTTAATTACTTTATTCAACAAAAAAATAGTCTATTAATTAGTTAATTATTAATCAAAAAAAATATGAAATTAAAAAACAAAAATATTATTGTTATTATTATTACAAAAATATTGTGAAATACCAATAAATTATTTTAGTTTTATGAGTTAATTAATTTTTTCTCAGAAAAAAAATATTAATCTATTAATTAGTTAATAATTAATCAAAAATACAGGAAAAAAATATTTAGTTTTAATTTATTTAATTAATATTAATATTAATATTAATAATAATAATAATAATTAATATTATTATTATAATTAATAATTAATATTATTATTATAATTATTATTATTATTATTATTATTATTATTATTATTATTATTATTATTATTATTATTTTTGTATATCACGGTTGTTCCGGTGTGATCACAGTTGTGTCGGCCACTTTTGGTGGCAGAGACACGACTGGTTAGACTCAACTCAAGTCTAGTACTTTTCTGACTGTTCTACAACTCTGAAGTATCACTGCTTTTTGCATTTCATAGATCTTAGTTTTTCTGATTTCCAGTGATTCCAAACTTAAGGCCAGATTTTTCGGTATTACGGCCATTGATGACAGGATTATAGGTATGATTTCAACTTTCTTAATGCGCCACATCTTATTGATCTCATAGGCCAAGTCTGTATATTTTCGGCGTTTCTCACTATGCGTGTCCTGTAGTTTGTGTGTTAGTGGGACCGCTATGTCTATTATGTACGCCTTATCTTGATGTTTGTCTACAAGTACTATATCTGGGCGGTTGTGGGCCACAGTCTTATCTGTTCTTATTTCCTTATCCCAGTAGAGCTTGGCTCTGTTGCTTTCCATTACACTTTGTGGCTCGTATCTATAGTATGGTAATGGTTCTTTGATTAGTCCGAATCTTATTGCCAATTCCTGATGTATGATTTTGGCTACTTGGTTGTGACGGCTTAGGTACTCGGTGTTTGTGAGTACTTTACACCCATTTAGTATATGTTCTATTGTTTCTGACTCCATATGACACATCCTGCACTTGTCTGTTGGTATATTTAGCTTTTGGATGTATTTCTGATGGTTTCGTGTCGGAATCACTCGATCTTGTATTGCCATCATGAACCCCTCTGTCTCTCCATGAAGACCGGCGTACTTCAACCATTTTGTAGACATTTCTTCGTCTACGTGTGTTTGGTTGAGTTCTGCTCTGTATCTACCGTGGAGTTCTTTTGAGGCCCATGTGTTAATCCTCTCTTTTTCATTTTGTATTTCTATTTGATGTTCATTATTGCTGAGATTTAGAGGTGTGTAGTTGTTATCAAGTGTTGCTGTTATTTTGTGGAGCTCTGAGACATTGCATTTTTGTTGATGGTATTTTCTCAGCAATTCTCGCTGTTTGGCTTCAAGGCTTACAATGTTTAGTAACCCTCTACCCCCATGCTTTCTACTAACACACAGTCGTGCTACAGAACTTCTAGGGTGGTGTAGTCCAAACATTGTAAGTTGTCGCCTTATATGTCTTTCAATGGTCTCAAGTTCTGTTTTACTCCATTTTATTATTCCGAACGAGTATGTCGGTACAGGTATAGCCCAAGTGTTTATGGCTTTGAATTTGTTGTTTGAGTTTAGTTGAGATTTTAGTATTTTTATTATTCTTTGGTTTAATGTTTTCTTTATTTCTTCTTTAACTTCTGTCATTTTAGATTTATGCATTTGCTTAATTCCTAAGTACTTATATATATCTCCATTTTCTAGTGCCTTTATATATCCATTTTCAGTTTCGTATTGATTTCTTTCAGAATAGACTCCTCTTTTCAGTTTCATTATAGCACATTTATCTAATCCGAATTCCATATTTATATCATTGGAGAAAGTTTCTGTTGTTTTTAGCATTGCATTTAAATCAGATTCTTTTTCGGCATATAGTTTTAAGTCGTCCATATATAGTAGATGTGTTAGATTATATTTTGTATCACTTGATTTTAGATTTACGCCTTTTAGCTTTTTAAGTAATGATGACAGTGGGTTTATGGCTAAGCAGAACCACAGAGGACTGAGTGAATCTCCTTGAAATATTCCTCTATTTATTTTTATTTCTGTACTTATTTTTGTTCCATTATTTGTATTGACACACAATTTAGTATTCCATTTTTTCATCATATTTTCTAATGTGTTTATCAGTGTGTTGTCAATTTTATATAGTTTTAACACTCTTAATAACCATTTATGAGGGACTGAATCGAATGCTTTCTTATAGTCTATGTATGCCATTTCAAGATTTCTATGTTTTTGACGAGCTCTTATTGTTATGATATTGTCTATTGTTAATTGCTCTTTACAGCCCATAGAGTGTTTTATACAGCCTTTTTGTTCTTCAGCTATTATGTTGTTGTTGCTTAAATGATTATATATTTTTGTTGATATTATGGATGTTAGGATTTTATACATTGTTGTTAGGCAAGTGATGGGTCTATATTTGCTGGGATCTGATGTATTTTCTGTTTTTGGGAGTAGATATGTTATTCCGGAAGTGAGAAAGTCATCGGTTTGTCCTGTTTGTATTATTTTATTCATTGCTATTGCCATTGGTTGATGAACTGTTGTAAAGTGTTTATACCAGAAGTATTGTATTTTGTCTTGTCCTGGGCTTTTCCAATTGTGGGATTTCTTGAGGGCTTCGGTTAAGTCATCCTTAATTATATTTACTGAAGTCATATGTGGTATTTCTTTATTTTCATCTTCAATATCATTTATCCAATTAGATTCTTTATATTCCTTTGGGTTACTCCAGATTTCTTTCCAGTAGTTTTCTATTTCATCTATTTGTGGTGTATTGTTATTATTGCTTGAATTTATTTTATTTTGATTTCTATAGAACATTTTTTCGTTATTATAGAACATTGTATTTTGTTTTCGTCTTTCGCTTTGTATTTTATATCTTCTGATTCTTTGTGATAGTGCTTGAACTGTTTGTTTTAATGTGTCGTTGTAATTTCGGATTATGGATTCAAATTCAGGTTTTCCAGGTTTTGTCTGTAATGATCTGTATATATCTTTTAATGATTGGTTAAGTCTTTTTGATTTGTTTCCATTTAACACTTGCGTTATTCTTCCAATTATTTTTCTTTTCCCTTCTATCCGTGTCTCTATTCGCTTTTGCCATTTAGGTATTACATTTTCTTGATTTGATTTTGTTGTAGACATGTGTTCTATTTTGTAGCCTAAGAGTCTCGATACTGCTACTGCTGCACAATACGTTATTGTATTAATTGCGCTCAACGACATATTTTCTTCGATGTAATCTTTAAGTATATCATTTATCGTTATTATAGTAGATCTTGTTTTAATGCCACTTCTTATTTTTGGCAATTTAGGTCTGAATTCTATTTCAAAGTCTTTATATTGTTCTAAAGATGTTTTTAGTTCATTTTCTGCTGTTATTCTGTTTATTTCATCATTTGTATTGTTTATGTTATCTGTTGTTGTAGGTGTCTCTTCTATTTCTGGCACTACTTCTACTGTGGTATTTAATTCAGTTGTTTCATTTAATGATAGTTCATGTGCCACTTGCTGTTTGATTTCTTGTAATTCTATTGGGGATATTTTATTATTCTTTGCTAAGAATCGCCGCTGGTCTGCAATCCTTTGTTCCGTTACATTTAGTTCTGGATATTTCTGTTTGAATGCTAAGTAAATTTGGTTTCTGTAATCAGTCATATTTGTTTCGAGTCGAGTTGATCTGTAGTATTCGCGCATTATCAAGGTATTCATCTCATGTGTCCATTTCATGCGCTTTTGCGATTTTTCAACCAAATTGGTCAGTTGTCGCTGAGAACCAGCTTGAACTGAAACATTTTGGAGGTTAGTCTGATTTTGTTGACTAGTCTGCGGTCGCATTACATCACAGCTTTGCCCGCATAGCACATCACTGCGTGGGATATGATGCATACTTAACGAACTGCAGTCAATGCCTACCTGCTGAACGCGGGATTTATTTGAGAGGGTACCTCCCGAACACCCCCCGTTATTCCTTCGACTACGTGTAATCATAATTATATATATATTTGTTTTTGGCCTTTTTACGGGGTCCCAGTCCCTAGAATAAGCTCAACACTAACATGTGTCTATTGCCACCCATTTCTCACCACTAACATGTGTTTGTTGAAATAGGAT